TTAAAATGTGCACCCGATAGGCGTCTGTCGATTCATCAAATAATACTTTGCAAAAAACAAACGGGCTAACCGCAAACGTCCGTGCCGTATAGCGTAAATAACCCTGTATATTTTCTCTTTAAGAATGGCATTATCGACTCATTTTGTCCACTATCGGTAGCAAACTGAACATTCATACACCTTTTCGAGATAAAGAGACAATAGAATAAACAGAAGCGAACAATAGAATAAACATGATTATTTAATCATTTATTTATTCGCCCTTTCGATGATTCATGCCTTACTTGGCAGGTCGATTTCAGTTTGTTTATTGTTGAGAAAGTACCAGTTCCCACGGCAATATTTCCAAAGGCAATTTTACGTTCCAACATACGAAAGAGAACAACAACTAAATGCCAAACGTTCAAAGCGCTGATATTTCATTGATTTAATTCCAAATTTAGATTTAATTTGTATTTGTTTGAATTTCATTCAGCTGCAATGTTTAGTGCCCAACACCAAAGCTATAGTAAATAACCAAAATATTTTTTTTCTCAAAATATTGACTAAACAAAATAAAAACGCGAAAAAGCCACTCAAAAAGGAAACTGTTGCTCCACGTGATGAAGAAGCCAGCAAATGTCAGCTAATTAAAAATGTCCTTTAAAAGCGGCGCAGTGAGGCGCAATGAGTTATAACTTACCAACTCACAGAGCGGCATTAACTCAAAAGCGCAACTCAACACAGTGTTACCCAGGCCTTAAAAAACCGCAGAAAATGTGATGATTGTTGATGATTTTAGAAAAGGACATTTTGCGGTATAAACCATCTTCCAGAAAGTTTAGCAACTAGTTTCCAAACTATCTGGAATATTAAAAGCAAGATAATGAGTCACCACAAGCCAATATTTAAAAATCGAGTAACAATACTTTTGAGATTCTTTTAGATAAGCCTTGTAATTTAAAAATATTAAATGCCCATTTAATCTTTGTCTTATATCCGAAATGCGAATATCTAGCCTATCTATTCGTAGATCAATTTATGTGTTATCAATCTGAAGCTATTCCGTATAGTGATACGGAATTCAATTCTTTATTTCGATGTCAATTTGATTTATACTTAGTTTCCTAACGAAAATATAAAAAAACGTTTATGTTAAGCAACTCGGGTATATTTTTCTTTTTAAGTTTTACTGTTCCCATACACATTATAGATTGTTTTCATAAAATTCCAAAAAATGTTCGATTACATTTGTAATTAATTAACCGATGGCAAATCGTTAGTATTTAGGAAATTGATTTTAACAAAACCAACTATTTTTGTTTTGTCTTACTAGAAATACTTGTTGCAGCAAGACAATTTATATGATTATTGATATTTTAAAAAGCTGCACAATTCAAAAGCTTCATATTTTCTCTCGACGTTTTTCGTTATGCAAATGATTATTTTAAAGCTATTTATTGTTCAAGCCAAAAAAATATATTTAAATCTTAACGTATTTTAATTTCGGCTTCCAAATGAACTACAGAAACTACTAACTTGACTTTGAGTCTAACTGAAAATTGGAAATATTTAATGTGTAAAAAAGTCTGGCATTTAAATTTTAAAATTATCTTAATGCTTTAGCGATTTAGATGTAAATTATTTTCATAATTCGAAGTCCGGTTAACATTTTTTGTCTGTGAAATATCACTAATCTAAAGCGATTAGGGTGTGGAATCCTGGATACAAGCAAAAAAACAGGGAATTATATTCCCCAGCCAGTGTTTGAAATGACATTCTGAATTATATTAAACCTTATTCATTTCCCTGTGTGGAGATAAAAGTCTAATTTGTGTTCGGAATACGCAAAACGTAAAAGCGTAAACTGTGATTTAAATTTTGGCCCCATACGAACGCAAGGTTTGCAATGAGCTATCATTGATGATATTGATATGAATAAACTAAAAGTGCGAATACTATGTGATAAACTTGCATATTTATGAAAATATCCAATTTAACTTAAATGCTTTTTTCAACAACAAAATTCATAAATAAAATTAGAAGGTAAGTTTTATGCTTTGCATTGCAATTACAGTGAAAAATTCAGCACAATTTACAAGCAACCTACCTAGTAATAGATAAAATATCACTATGGAATAATTTGAATATTGCGTTTCTGTCGAATATTCTTCAAAATATTGAATTTAAATTACGCCTACTCAAGATTATCGCGTAAGGAAAAATATTCAATTTCAATAATCAATAAGTTCCCATAATTTTAATGGAATAATTTAAGTCGCCATCAGATTAAAAGTAATAACTTTAGAAACGGGAAGCCTTCAAAACCTTAATAAGGTTCCAAAGCTGTATAATGTAGATAAGATGACGCAGTCTAATTTAAAAACCAATGTTGGAGAGTATCTGAGGTAACTTTTACTGTTTGTTTACACTCAATTATGAGAAGATAAATTTGGGTGATGACTAGACAAGAAGATAAACTCTTAAAGGGGATCATTTTAAGCAACTTTTTAGCAAGTCACA